CCCCTGAGGAGGAAGGAGTGGCAGAAAACAAAATAGTGATGAACTGACCCCAACCCCCATTCCCTGTTTTCCCCCTGTGCCGCTGCGGGGGAGGAGGGAGGAAAATTGGGATCAAAGTTACGCTTGGAAAAGGAGTGAGGGGTGGGGGGAAGGTGTTTTAAGATTTGGTTTTATTTCTCATTACTCCTCTCTGAGTTAATCGGTAATAAATCACATTTCCTTTCAGTTGAGTCTGTTTTGCCCATGACAGTAAATGCTGAGTGATCTCCCTGTCCTTATCTCAACCCCACAAGCCTGTTGTTATTTTTTTCCTCTCCTCTCTCCTGTCCAGTTAAGGAGGGAGAGTGATAGAGCGGCTTTGGTGGGCACCTGGCATTTTTGGCAAGGGCAACCCACCACAAAAAGTATGCCACAAGTACTGCTAAGTACTAAGGCACATTGTAAATTTTTCCTTTTTCCACAAAAAGCAGGATCCTGGCTATGGACTAACCCGATCCTCTCCATTAAGTCTTATTCAGCCTGAGAGTCTTCAAGCATTATCTAGGAATGATTTAAATGCCATTGTTTTAACCAAAAGTCCTTTAAAAATATTTCTATGAAAAGAAAAAAATAAATGCAATAAGCCTCCTACAGAACTAATGGAACACTCACACCACCTTATTAAAAGGACCGGATATTCAAAAATTTCCACAGATGTTTCACTTGAGCTGTGTGTACTTTTTAAATATAAACTGCACAGTTTATGATGGCATCCTTAACATCATCATTACTTGGTAAATGAAGAAGAGAATAAAACACAAAGGTGCATTGGGCACCTGTTTACACTCGACCACTGTAGAGAGCAAAGGCTTTTATATGGCTTGGTTTACATATTGTTTTTAAATTCTGTTTTATCAATATCACTGATATTAGTAGATTCCTTCACCTTAATATATAGTAATGTAGATGGACTCATATGATCGCATATATGCTGAATCACTTTTTTGGTCCAGAATACGTCTCTGTGAAAGATACATTGGCCACAAGTAATTCATGGAGTTAGGAATGATACATTTCTCTGACGTTTTATTATTATCTTTTAGCTCTATTCTTTCAATGGAGACTATGAGTTGTATCATATGAACTGGTTTATCCACATCGTTTAACAATGATTCTGAGAAGACCATGTTTGTGAAAACTGCCATTAAATATTAAATAATAGCATGAACAAAATCCTACGGTTTTTTCAATTATTTGTGTGGTGATTTATATTAGTGTATTGGTTCTGTCTGAGATGGACTTAATTTTCCCCATAGAAGCCCTCATTGAGCTGTGCTGTGTAGTGGTAGCTAGAAAGGTGTTGATAACACAGCAGTGCGTTGACTACTGCTGAGCAGGGCTCACACAGCAGTCTGTGTGTGGCTGTCTCTCCAACATTTCTCCAGTAGGCTGGGGGTGGGTGAGATCTTGAGAGGGGACATAGCCAGGACAGCTGACCCAAACTGACCAAAGCGATATTCCATACCATATGATGTCTGCTCAGCAACATAAGCTAGGGGGAAAAGGGGATAAGGGGAAGAGGAGGAAGGTGGGGCATTCATTTTTACATTTGTCTTCTGGAGCAACTGCTACGCGTACTGAAGCCCTGCTTCCTGGGAACTGGCTGGACATTACCTGCTGATGGGAAGTAGAGAATAAAATCTTTTGTCTTCCTTTGCTTCTGCACACGGCATTTGCTTTTGCTTTATTAACAACTGTTCCTATCTTGACCCACACACCTGTTATATTTTCTCTCCCCTGTCCAGCTGAGAAGGGGCAGTGATACGAGAGCAGCTTTGGTGGGCACCTAGCATCCAGCCAGGGTCAATGCACCACAATCAGGTTTAGTATAATAGCTCCTTCTTCAGAGTGAACATGTGTAAAGCCTTGAGCTTCCAAATCCACATGTCCATGATGAAATTTAAGCACATGAGTGAGCCTAACAAAGACACAGTTAAGCGAGTGTGTGACTGACGAATCGTGTCTCTTCAGGAACATGCTCTTTTACTTTTAAGCAAGTAGGTGCCAGAGTCTCAACAAAAGAAATGAAACCTAGACTGTATGCTTAAAAAGGTTAAGTATGCATGTTAGAGCAACTTGGTGAAAAAAATATATAAATCCATGCTTAAGCACATTCTGAAACTGGGCTATTTTGATAGTGGTTCATCTTGCCTTCAGACTCCACGTCATCTCCTGCAGAATCCCACACCTCCTCTTGCGAGAATCTCTCATTGGGAGCACCCTTCACCACCGAGATCTCAAAATTCAGACCTGACGATAGTTACAAAACTTTTATCTGAGCCATGAGTTAACAGAAGAAAGCCATGCTGTGGGATTCGGGGATTAATTCAAAACACAAGCCAAATAAAGTGAGACAAACAGACACAGTATCATCCACCTCTTTAGATACACTTGCAGAAGAAATTGACTCAATTTATTTGGAAATTTGGAAGGCTATGTGTCTCATGGTGTAAATAAATATATACATACTTGTGCCCAGATTAACCAAAACTTATAAAACTCACTAATATATTCAGAGTATTTTCTACTTCACACCTAAAAAGCCTACTGATTTACCCGTATTCTTTGTTACTAAATGCATGGTACACTTACTGTCAGTCATCCTAATTTATTACCAGAAATCCTTAAATTAATTTCCTAGCTTACCCTTCATAAGAACACTTACCAGCTACCATAAGGATATAACAACATCCAAGATCTGAAAAGGTATTAATAACATCTTTCTGTGGGAAACCAGACTACCATTGCATTCATACAGAAACAGAAAATTATCATAGGGCAGACACTAAAAGCCTCATTTCAGAGAGCTAGAAGGACAGAGGGGAAAGGAAGAAAAGACAATTCATTCCCATCTGTGCCCTGTGCAAACTGTCATACTGTTCATGCAAAAATAAAAATGAACGTTCTAATCACTATGTGTTTCTAGACAGTTTTAAGCCTCTGCTGAGGACTATTTAAAAAAGTCTGATTTTTCTAAGAAACAGAATGTAGCACTGTAGAAACAGTTACACGTGATCAGATCTCTGGTTCATCCACACCAGTACCTTATGTCCGACAATGCCAGCACAGTATGTTTAAAAAAAAAAAAAAAACAAACAAAAAACCACAAAACAAAACAAAATGAAACCCAAAAACCCAACAGTAGCCAGACGATGGCTAATCTATGCTTTGATTTGAAATACTCCTAATTAGCAACTGGTTTAGAACCTGATGTGTGAATTTTACATCACATCCACAGTTTGTTATGAATATCCATCATAAAGTTGGGTGTTATTCTTACCTGACATAGTATTTTTAAATAAAAATACTTCCTTTTTGATGCAATTAAAAATCCCAGGTTCTTTGGTTTCATGTGTATTTTTTCAGATCCCTAACCATTTTTTTTTTTCTTTCCATGAGGTTTTCCTAGATCTACAACGCTCCTTTCTGAGATACAATTTCAAAGAATCACAGATAACCTCAAACCAATGATTTTACATGCCATGAGATATTCACTATTCTTTATCTCTACATATCACAACATCTTACTGACTCTTTAATGACCTCTGCTGTAGCATTAGAAGAGATTTTCACAAAATTGGCTTCATCAGTGTTTTTCTAAACCTTTATCACTAAAGTAGCATCCTGTAAAGTATTTCAGTTCATCATTTAACTACCGTTCTGCATTGCTTTTGCTAGATGGCCACTTAGCTTTCTGCATTGGAACTTCAACTTTTTTTACGTACGATGAAAATACAATGTATTCTTCATCAGTAAATGTTGTAGCCTCACTGAGCACCCTTTTATTCAGCACTTGATTATTATTTATCTTTGCCATATTGATACATTCAAACAATTCTAGCAATGAGAAAACAAAAATTGTTTCCTCAGAAGTAGGTTTATTTCCTTAGAAAGAAGTTAGATGCTCTCTACCTATTGCACCCCTCAGGCTTAATGAAACCTACAATAAGAAGAGAATCTGAAAGACTCCAAAAAAGATTTTTCACTGTGAATTTTCTTTTAAAAAGACAGATAAGAAACCTATACATACACTATGAACAGCTTCAGCTTCACAAATAAGCAATCAGCAATGACACAGGTATGAAAGTGTCACAGCAGCCTTCAGTATAAACTAGAAGGCTGCTGAACGTCAACCGGCTCAGGCGTCAGCAGGAAATAAGCCTTTCCCTGATGCACCACCTCAACAGTATGGAAAGCATAGCAGACAGCAATAACTCCCTACAAGATGTCCCCTAGGGACAAAGACAAGTATAAATGGAGTTGGGAACTTCTGCAGATCATCTTCTCTACTAGGAGCTCTCCATGGGGTTAATCAGAACAAAGATTGTCAAAGACAGTCTGGCTTAGGTGAGAAAGTTTCCCTGAAGCGGGGACCACTGCAGGACACAGGTACAAGAAGTGAGCTTAGCTTACAGATTTGCTTGAAGACCCACCCACTCAGGATACTGATCTCTGCAAAGTCCAGAAATTAATTTTATAACAACAGGCTGAAATCCAACTTCACTAGCAGCTATGTTTGGGAACACTTAGACAAGAACAATGACAACACTGTTGCTTGACATACAGAAGAAAATAGCACCAGATGGGCTGCCTGGTGAATCCGGTGCCTCAGATGACATACCAGGACAAGTGTTTTTGAAAGAACACTGCAAATTATGATCCTCACACTTTCTGTTCTTAGTTGAAGAAGGTGGCAAGTACATTCAGATGTACTCCATGGGAACAAGAGATGGGCAGGCAAGTTAAAACCAAGCAGCCTACTGAGCCACAAACAACAAGCTGTAGGATACAGATACATTAGGTCATCTTGGTACGAAAGTATTTTCAGTGTTTGCATATTTCTAACATTTCTTTCTTTCCTGCTTTGTTGGTATTCTAAAGATCACCCTAGTACGCCAAAAGAAGCAAGCAGAGGAGCCAGCCGCAACCTAGTCTGCTTGAAAGAGGCAAAGCGGTTTGTTTCTTTCATTAGCAAGGTAACATGGTAGCGAGACTTCCCCACTTTTTTTCTGGTAGAGAAAAGGCTGCACAGGCCAAAACTGAGCCAGGTGACTCTCCTACGGCATGCCATAAAAACAATGCCAATGCTGATGAGGGCAGAACGTTTCAGGTTTTGCTTATTTCAACACATCTCAGATCCCCCACAGGCAGAGTTGTAGTCAGTGGGCTCATAAAGCTGATTTGACTGATGACGCTCTCTAGGGAAAGCTTTTGAAAGAAATACTCCACCCCCTACCTCTGTTCCAAAATGTACATCAACCAGCTAAGAACTTCCAGTTCCCACCTGCAGATAGATAATTTGGTGGAAATACTTAAACAAGCTCCTGTGCTATATTTAACTCAACAGATAGTCCCATGGGTGAAAAATATTCAGCTAATGAGAAATAAAACAAACTTGGTAGCAAAACAGGCTATCATGTCATAAAATAATATGCCTTTGGCAGTAAGTTTAACAGCTTCATATATCACATAGCAGTTCAGCCCTTTCAAATAAAAAAGGACAGAAATATGGTGCAATGCTGACATCTGAAACCCTATATTTTTATGGTCTAACTGGCTTTCTGTCAAGGGTAGTCTTTGACACGGAGGGTTGGCTGGGCAGGAGGATCCTGAAGTTGCAGCACTCCACACTAACAGCTCACAGCTCCTACAGCCTGCCTGGCCTGTGCTTCAGGTCCCTCCACCTTGAGGTGTGATCAGAAAAAACACTCAGGAGACAACAACTGCGTACAAGATGGCCCTTTGGGGGTCAGTATAGTACATTTACTTTGAACTACTTCACTACAAGCTACCTAAGTTCTGACTACAGAGGAGGTCCCACACAGGGCCAGACCTCAGTGAAAAGATCTTTGCTTTTTCAATCTTTGAAAATCTTTGATTTTTCAGCAGTTGTCTGCTTTCCCCAAATTTTGCCTGCAAGTGCTGCACTTTCACAGGGAGACAAATACAGGCAAAAAAGTGCAAGAGCAATTTAAGAATCCTTCACCTCCCACGTGGAGATGTTTATTTTCTAGTGCTTTTGACTCTCCAGAGAGAAGTCTGCTGTTCACTCACATGGGAAATAACAATGGAAAGGAACATAGAGTGATAGACTTTGGTTACCGAACATGGTATAGTGTGTTAAATCCTCTTTTACATTCATAGGATTCAATAGAAAACAAATAAAATATCTGTCTGCATGCATAAAACCTAGAAAATTTATCAACCATGTAACACACATCCTAATATCAGTATGTTGCTCAATAATAGTTCCAGCTATTATTATTATTAAAACTACTTTCACACTAATAATCAAAAAAAGTATTTCAGAAAAGAAATGCTGTCTCCAGAGAGTCTCAAAGATAACGATAAATTTAAACAATTGTAGCTATAAATCTAGACATTTCCTATCTCTCTGAAAGGCATTATTGCATCATAGGGAAATGTATACTAAGTACATTGAAGCACTCAATTTCAAAGTAATTGAGTGGTGTTAGGTGCCACTAACAATCTTATAGGTGCAGTTTAGTGCTTAATGTTAATGAAATACATGAATTTTTTTCTGGCACATTAGTTATTTCAGTATGAAACAATTTTCTATATTTTTGTGCCACATTCACAAAAATAGTACATCAAAAAGTTCTTGTACACAGTCATCACTGGATTAAACATTGTGAATTTTTAGATTTTGCCACTATACGAGTAAGTTTCCCAATTCACCATGCTTCAGAACAAAACAAAAAGAAACTGCACTCATTGTAGAGTCTTCAGATTTGGCTGGGTTAACGGGGTGATTGTGAAAAAACATATCATTTGATATAAATGCCTTGCCTGCTTCCCGCAGTAGAAGCAGCCACAACTAACTCTTCCTTAGTCCTGCTCGGCCCCCTCTCCAACACTGCACCTCAAATGCAATCCACATACAGAAGGACATTTCTGCTTCTCTTTAAATGTTGACACACGCCACGCGCCTCAGTGGGTCAAAAGAAACCTCAGATCTTTCGCCAACAGCATCAACTCTTGCCAAAAAGCTGGGTAACTCTACCAGTCTGTTAGACCTCAGACAATTCAGAAAATAAACTGGGCTACAGAGGTTGAATTATCCTCTCTTACAATGAGACACACCTATTTCAGAACGCAGATCGGATATATTGCTTGGCTACTATGCCAAAAACTATTGCAGCAAGCACAGCTGCACCTCTTCCAGAGAAGGGAAAAAAAATCCAAAACAAATGAAAAAGCCTCTATGGATTTTAAGGGACCTGGAGCACTTCCTTATGAATTTGCAGCCAAAATGACTACAGGGGAAGAAAAGGGACAAGTGGGATCTCTCTCCAGTGCTCCATGCACCCTTCAAATATTTTCCATGCAATGATAAACCACTTAGAAAAATGCGACAGCAAAAATGTGTTCCACTAAGAGCTAACAGACTCAGAACAACTGCACGTCATTTCTCATGTTAAATTGTGAATACAGGGTATTAGGCTACTATTATTGCAGGCTTGTAAAGCAAAGTGCAGGAAACAGGACATCCTAATTTTGCTCCTGATAATAGAAAAAAAAAATTGTCATACTTACTGCAAAGTACCAGGAAAAAAAATGGAAGCAGAAAGAGAAGGAGAAAATAAATAAATAGTAAAATCATCATTAAATTTAGTTTGAATCATGTAGTAAAGAAATACATTTAAGCTGAATTAGAATAATGCAATAATATGGATGCACCACTTCTTAAAACACAAGCAGGGCTGAAAATCACTTTGAATAGCAGCCTTAGGATGAGAAGCTTAAGGCAACTGCTTCCTGGAATATTTTCTACTTGATCTAGCTGAACAAGTATTAGGGAATTTAACTGGGGAAAGATAAGCCTGTAGATGTTCACAAGTCCACAGTTGTCACTGTGGTTGTCCTAAAGACTAAAGGAGTGTAAGATGGTTTGCTTTTTGTGCTTGGCAAAAGAAAACATTTCTCACTGGCTTAGTATACACCTCCTCACGAACAGAGACCCACTAAGAGCAGGGACTGCACCCCACCAGAAATCCATTACATGGCTCTGGATTTCTCATCCCATACTGTTGTCTGAATTTAACCTAGAGACTTCAGCTCCCTCAGCTACTGCCTGCATGACCAGTTAGGTCTATCTAGACTTGCAGAACAACACACACATCAAACTGCCCACTCCCACTTCTGCTAGCAGGTCTTCATACATGGAGGATAAATAGAGGAGCACTGAAAGAACAGAGAGCTTCTCCTGACATACACTTTAGCTCAAACCAGAGAAATGGCTGCCTTGAACAGCTTCTCCTAGTTACGTAAGACTAACAACGCACAGAAAAACTGAATTAAGAAGCAAGTAGTCACTTCTTCAATAAACTTAGTGGATTTCCAACCATTTCTGTCAGCAGGTGGAGCAGCAATAGCACTAAATATGGACAGGTAAATATCTCCCTATATTTGTCTGTTATCTACCGAAGTAACATTTGTCTCTTAGTCACTGCCTGCTGAAAGGACAGAGAAACTGTTGCTGCTTCTAGTACTCTTCCCTCCCCTGGGAAGTGACAGAAAGCGATTGGTAACCTTTGATAACCTAATGCAAGGCCAACAAGGGCAAAGAACAAATTTTTCTCACCATGGCAAGAAGGGTCCATTTGCTTCCACGAAACATCTGTAGAACCTTTATTTACAAAAATCCTCAGGCCAGAAAAAAATAGCATATAGAAAATCATCAGAACGGCACTATACCTATCAGAAAAAGTTATGTGGCTTGGCTGTTCTGGATGTAAGAGGTCTGACTGAGATCTGTCTAATCATAAGCAGCAGTTCAGAGCAGTTCAGTACTCTGAACAGGAGACTAGATCAGAACATGTGGATTTTGAGCTTTGTATAAAGAATTCCGGACTGACATTTCCCAGCAGAAATCAATGCATTTGTTTCAAAAGAAAAAAAAGATAACATAACAACAATTGAAGATTTCCAGGGTGGACAACAGCCTAAATGTAAAAGCTTTTCCCTGCATTCTTTGCATCTTATATACTGATTCTGAGCCTTTAAAAATAGTAAGTCAAGCATGCAAGGCTCCCCCTGAGAGGTCAGCTCTGGTAGTCTCTCCCTCATGCTTACAGGATGCACCACTTAATCTGTAAAAAGTGGGGACACACCATGATGATTTCAAGGAGAAGAATACATTCAGTCATTTCATGAGTTATAAAGGACAAATGATTACAGTCACTTTCATTAAATATAATCACCATTCTTCAGTAAGAAAAACAGAACTTGACTGAAAAAGAGTTGGCTAAAATTATGTCCACTTCCCAGAAAAAGGCTAGAATGGTATTTGAACGAAGAGTAAAACAAATCTGAAATTCAACAAGCTAACTCTTGACATTTACATTACAAAAGCTTATATTTCATTGATCTTTTAAAACTCAAATGTACAAACCTGCTCCTGACTCAAAGTAAATCTACAACTAATGATTCTAGACAGAGGTACAAAACTGTGCTGTTGGATGACACGTACTGAAGTTTTAGACCACAAGTTGTTACTGCACACTTAATAATTAACACTTAAACAACAGTGAGGAGAAATGTCAAATGCTATGAAAAGTATAATTTATTTCTCCTGGCAGATACTAATTGACCTGTATTAATGACTTTTGGAACTATTACTAATGAGGAAAAATAGCCATCCCAGCATGGCAGCAACATCTATAGTGAGGGGACAGTCTTCTAGCCATTAGAAAAAAAAATATGGGGGGAGAGGGAGTATCACACCATAAGATAAGAAAAACAGTTTCTCAAAAAGGATGTTTACAACTAAATTTCTAAATTGCTGCCACAGCACAGTGGGGGAGAAATTCTGATAGTGCCTCCAGCAGCTCTGCTGGATGATTAGTCTCAGCAGCTATCAGCTAACTGGAGTTTGTGGCTGTGTTAGTCCCCCAGGGTCTAGTCATGTTGTTATACAGAACCAGGCAGCTAACCAGGGATCCTCAAGGACAGCAAGGTGTCCTCTGAGCAGACCAGCTCATCTTCTTCACTGTTTTGCAGGGCAGAACAGTGGGAAAATGGTCAAAATATGTTTTCTATTACGCTTTAATCAAAAGCATATTGATAGGATCGTATTAGTTTAACTTCCAAGGTATACCAAAAATCATATACAGCCTCCTGTGGTATGTAAATGAAGCCAGGAATGTAGTGGTTAGGCATAGGTGCATTTCCTAAGCAGAAAGAATTTTTGTAAATTCAGTTAGCCAGAGCAAATGGACAATTCAAGAACTATCCAAGCATATTATTCCACTATTTCACTGTTTTATCTGAAGATCAAAAGACACTATGCTATGATAGTGTTTATCTCAGCACTGACCATTATCTTGAAGGACTCCTGTGGAAGCTGTTCCTCTTACTGTCTGTTTTACTTTTGTAGAGTTGTTAGAAAAGTGTCGTCTGCACACAGAATCCTCTGTGTTCTGGCTTTTTTTGTCTTTCCCTTTGGAAAGCAGAGGTGAGGAACTGTTTTCTCCTGGGCCACTGGATCCAACGGCAGATTTAGATTGCCGATCATTTCCCTGAAAAGAAGTGTATGTAATTATCACTGATTAAAGTGACAAAGTTTATTTTTTTTAATTTCAGTATTATTTCAACCTTTTAATACTAAGGATTGTTATCAGGTGTTAAGAAGCATATTAATTTACAATCAGTACAGTAAGTGATATCTTAAACTACCCAGAAAACTTAACTATCTCATCAACTTACTATATGATCCAAACAATCAAATGCTCCTCAGCAACTCCCAGAAGAAAATAACACATTTATTATAAGGAAATAATGCTTCATTTGATGAAAAGAACGGCTAGGTGAATCTATACATGCATCCATATGATACACAGCTATATCTTATCTATGCATATGTGTGGAAAGTCATAAGACGTAACATATATAACTTGTGAGTGATTCATTGCCTGTGTGAATGAGACATAGGCATTAATCTAAATATCAAAAGCAGCTGGAAGAGGATGACAGTCTTCGTGTGGAAGTAACACTGGCTGCCAAGTGGACACTAAGAAATGACTGCCCGCACATCACCTCTGAGTCCCCTCCAAGGACACCAGCCAGTTCCTCTGCTTGCTCTGTTGTGTATCTAGAAACAGAACCAGAAACCTGGTCCTTATTTTTACAGCTCTAGTGTATGATCCTGGGTGTACTAGTCAGCGATGTTATTATTTATATACATTTTTCTTCAGCCTAGATCTGTCCACAATCAACATCATAAACACCTGAACTGTACATAGCAGTCCTTTAGGGTGCTGTTTATATCGTTCTAGGCTGCATCAAGATTTTACCAAGTGAACATCCTCAGTGTTGCCTCTCATTAGAGGCTGTCAGCCTCCTACTTTTGCCAGTCTAACAGCATATGTAGTCTCTTCCTAATCCAGTTCTCTCAAAACACTCCATATAACAATAAAACACTCAAGCAGTTACGGCAGAAAACCTTTTCAGTATCTGGAACCATCTACCTCATAGCTGAATCACAGAAGACTAATACATTCTATTCTACTTCATTGTTTCGCTCAGTGCAGCTGCATGTCATTTTGGAACTCGCCCATCAAAAAGGCCTTTCATTCTGCAATGGGCATGGACAATTCTGTTCACCTCACTGCTAAAGTTAAAAAGGTAACACTATATAAAATTAACATCTTTCAGAAAAATAAGTCCTGAACAAAATCCCACATCTCTTAAAAAAAATCCTGCATACATTTTTATGTGATTCTTATAGTTTTCACATCATCAGTAGAAACCAGTTCTGTTTAAAATCTCTTACTTAAATACCATCTAGCTTTTACCATCTAATCTATCATTTATCTACCAATACCATCAAATCTACCACTTATCCTTTCTCTATAAAGGGAAATGAAGGCATGGCAATATTTTGGTCTCTTCTAATTCAAACTGGAGACTTACTCCCAAGCAATAATAGTAAAAAAAGTGTAGATATCAAACTGAAGTCAACAATTGCATGATTTATACCAGTTCAAGTGTTGCGTTAGGTATTGAAGAGCAGTAGTACATATTCCTGCCTCCTTAAGTTTTGACGCTTGTTATCAGTGTGTGTTACAATCCCAATGGAATAAAAGTGAGTATCAAATAATTTTCTGTACATGCTGTTAAGTAATAGTAGAAGAAGTTAAAACTGTTCATGAGTTATTTTTACATATGCTAGAACTACAAAGCTCACATTTTGAAAACAAACACCACTTGAAACCATGTTCTTTACCAAGGTTTTATCTTCTACTGAATTTCAACAGAACGGAACAGAGACTTGTATATTTTATTGCTTATTTTGTTTAGTGGCTCCAGGGTTTTTGTTTTGTAAACAGTGAATGGACATGATCAACTACCACAGTTATAAAGACAGACTGTGAGTCTGACTCTCCATTGTCTTGTAGTTGTAGAGCAAAACTGCACTTGTACAGAATCAGTGCAAACAGATACTTCTACTCTGACCTGGCACTGTTTTAAATCCACACTGGACTCATTTTGTACACATGTAAGCAGCTCTACAGGATACGAAGCAGTACAGGCTCAAGCTCTGTATTTAATGGTTAGCTAGGATAAAACACATCAGATCAGAAACTGGTTTAGGGCCTTATTCAGACTCAGCATGTAGAAAAACCATTTTCTGCAACATGTTTTGTAAAAGGTTCTGTGTTTTTCTTTAGGTGTGTAATTTGAATAAATAAATAAACAAATACACAAACATAGCTGACAAGGTTTATGGGAAAGACTTCAAGGCAGCAGTCGATCTCTGCTATGGAAGGTTTTATAAAAAAATAAAGCGGCCATTATTGCAATAATATTTTCTCAGATTTAGTTTGTCTAATTGACACTGCAAACAGCTACAGATTCATCAAGCTTTAATAAGCACACCACCAGGTGGCTGCGGATTTTTTCTCTTCGGATTTAATTAAAACCCAAAGGACAGGGATTTTCCACCTGCCGGAATTAAGCGAACTTAGAAACAAACTTATTACAGCACTTGATACTTACACTGCCTTTAGACTTCCGAGATCCCATGATTGGAGGTAGTACAGAGACTTTGGAACTGCAGAAATAAGCCACATCTTAGAACAGTGTACTGTCCAGCACTACACTTAGAACTGCATAACTGTCACTATCAGAGACAGCATGTATCTATAACCAAGTCAGATAACACCAAGTCGGCTACAGCAACAGAGCTTTTACTAAGTATCACTCATTTACTAAGTATCATCTGTCTGTTCACTAGACAGACACGTATTAAACGCATAATCATGAACTTACTCAAGCAAATACATTACATTTCCCCACAATGCATGCTTTATATATTGAAAATTTGCAAGCAGTATTCAGTGAATTACTATGTGAAAGATCCTTACAACTATTATAATGAAAAGTTCCAGCAATTTCAACAAAACTCTGTTTACATCAATTGATCAACGTAGCTTTCCACTGTCCTTAAATTTATTCGTTGCAAATGCTATTTCCCAAAATACTTTCAAGTTATTGACATTGTCTACAGTTGCATTTCATTTCTAACCATTTATTTCAATGAAATAGCTCCCAATCTTCATTTTTTCCAAAGATACTAAAAGCCTGAGTTTCTCCTTACAGAAACTCAGTTTAGGACTCTATTATGTAAGAGATCTATCCTACAAAAAACAGATCCAAACATAACACATTCTTAAGGCAGTACATATTCCCAAAACATTACCAAGTAAGAGTAGATCTAGACATGTGTAGCTGCACCTAATCTCATTCAGCTGCACACATTTGTATCCCAGGAAAAAAACAAATGAAGCCAAGTCAAAATAATCCTTTCTCTGACTTTAATTTTGTGATCCATGACTAATAGCATGTTTATAAGGTGAAGTAATCTTCTGAATTTCCATTTTCTCTTTTGTTTTTGTTATCTCAGCTTTGTCAGAAGTTGTCAATAAAGTTTTGCATCCATACTAACCCATCCCTCCCTCCCTCGTCCTTGGAATGATGATTTTGTACTTTACTGGTGGTACTTTGTAAACAAATTGACACACACAAGTATGTGAGAAGTATATCACACAGCTATAGAACTTACCCCTGTGGCCTTCTCATTGTAGATTTGCTAAACAGCAGATCAGCATATGGCAACTTCTTAAACTTTTCTCTACCCACTGCAACATAAATTTGCCCATTCTCCAAGTCTGATCCATTCTGAACCAGTTTTCCATCTAAAGTGTAAAGCCTGAAAAATATGAAAATGCTTAATATAACAGACCTTAAAACTCAGTGTATTAAGAGCATTGAAAGCTACATTAATCTAAACTCACTAAATCATGTGGAATTTCCAGATATGAAACAAAATAAAGTACAGTGGATGCCATACAATGGTCAGTCACTACACAAAAAAAAAAAAACAAAGGACAAGGAAAGACAGAAGGAAATAATGACCTAAATCACAGTTCATATAAAACTAATGAAGTATGATGTCCTATTACAAACTAAATACTCTCATCATTTTTAAAATGAAATAAATTACTTTGTATGACAAAGGTCTTTTAACGCCTTTCCCCTGATACCTTGGAAGGGATCTAGTTCATGAGTTCCTGACCCTTCTCATACCAAGTTACACCTCCCATCTGTGCCCTGGGCACTATGCAATAACCCAAGAGGAACAGGGCATTCATGGCCCCATAACCGAAAACCCAGGACCTGTCCACCTAACACAGACCAAGTTGATAACACTGCACTTAGATCATTATATTGTGTAGATCGGAAGGTTGGAACATGGCTGTACCTGGAGAGGTAAAGCTGGGAGTAGTGGGAAATACAATAATACATTATAATAAGAAGCTGTGTATCTCAGGCACCTATAATTCCAATAATTACTATGTCTATTACACCAGGTAGATTTTTACCACCATAATTTCTGTTTGTACACTTTACTGAGAAGGAAGAAATGCATTAGGGACCGGGGGGGGGGGGG